GTGGAGGACGGCCTGCCGACGGCGTTGCCATTCTTTAATATCCTCGAGAGGAGCTCGAAATCGGGGAGCCCGGTGCCCGACGAGGGCCCGGCGTCTCCCGGCGCCGTTCCCCGACTCTGCCTGGGGTCGGAAAGACCCGACTGGGGCCTGTTAAGACGCGGGTCGAGGGTGGGCATGGATTGAAGGGCAGCCGGGACGGGGACGAACTCCTGCTTGGGGATGGGGAGCGGGATCAGATCCTCCGGGCTCCACAGGACCAGGCGGGCGAAGTTGGGCTTGTTGAGGACGACGTCTTTCTTGATGTGCCTGAACTGCTGGAGCTGGGAGCGGGGATCCCGCAGGGAATGGCCCGGGAGAGCATCCAAGGGGATGCTGACGGGCTTATCCCGCAGAGCCCTTTCCCCTTCCTCCTCCTCGGGGAGCAGGGGGGGTTTCTGGCCGACGCCGGAATGAGGAGCTTCTGGCTTGGGCACGGAGGAGGGAATGTGTCGCGCGAGTCGGGGGTCGGTGGGTCCCGAATCCCCGGGGAGAGCCGGGACGGAAAGGTCGGCGTTCCGGGAAAGCCTGGGATCCCGTAAACGCGGATCGGCGGGGCGACCGCTCCCTCCCGCCTGGGCTTTTTGCAGGCGAGGGTCGCTGACGGCGGAGGGGGGTCCGATCTCTCCGTGGGAGGCTCTGCCGGAGCTTTGCTGCCGGAGGGTTTTCAAGATGGAGGTGACGCTGCTTCCACCGTCGTCTTCGTCACTGGAATACCAGTTACCGGTATCGCCTGGGAGGAAGGAGGAGAGAGCGCAGCTGATGAAAGGGAATTCCAGCCCGGCGCCGACGAGAAGGTCCCCAAGACGCGTCCCCTCTCCCCTCGGCGCCGCTCACACCCCCACCCGTCTCCGCGTTCTGCCGAAACGGGGCACCGCGTGCGACGGCCTCGGCCCCCCCGCTGTCTCGTTTTCGCGCCCTGAACGACCGGAGAGCCGTAAGGATCCTGCTCTTCCTCTTCCTCCTGCCCCCCGCAGA